GGGAAAAAAAGCTGGAGAGTTCAAAAAAAATTCCAAAAAAGTGATAGGAAGTTGGGAAATTCCATGAGAATGGTATGTAGCATGGAGGATGGAGAGGGGTCGTTAAACCAGAAGCGGAAGTTTCAAGAGAGGGGGGGGGTCTTGCTTCGCAAGGCTGGACGCCCGGATTTCACGTGTCCTGGGGAAGACGAGAAAAATAAATCATTTTTTACGGAGAACGAGAAGGGTCACATCCCTTCATAACTATTCAGAAAATAGTTCTACAAATTACGGAGATTAATGCAGAGAAGATAGAAGGGTGTAAATCCAGTACACGTTGTATGCTGGGGTGCCTGGCGAGGGGGTCATGTTTCGGCTCGCTGGAGGGGGCCTTTGAGAAAATTTCTTGTGGCGAGGGCAGTTCCTTAGGGTAAAGTGGAATACTTTTTGATAAAAAAACCTCTAGAAAAGTGGTGGGAAGTTGGGAAAATTAGAAATGCAGAAAGGGGGAGAGTTGTACCAGAGGAGAACTTTTGAGAGGTCGTATTTTGCGAGGAATTTCCGCAAGAAGTGCCCAGTATACATCGTATTGCGAATCGCCCACATCGACCTCGGATCCTTTCCTGGGCTTTTGTCAATTCGCCAGTCATGCTGTTCCGCTCATCTGTCAGATAGTGGGGCGATATATAATAGAGATACATAGAGAGGAAACTGGTAGAGAATTGTTTTGAATTCCATTCGTTCTTTGTTTTGTTTTGCTTTTGTCTCGTTTGTTTGTTTGTTTGTTTCGTTGTTGCCTTCAGATAATACTTATGGCCTTTTCCAGGTGCAATTGTCGGATATGCAGAAGAAGTACTACCGTGCTATTCTAGAGCGGAATTTTTCTCATCTTTGTAAAGGTACAGGCGCTAAGCTTGTTCCTCCTACTGTTGTTAGCCTAAAACTCGACGGCTTCCTTTTTTGTCATATATTTAGTTTCTGTAATTTGAATCTGTTTAGGATCATCCGCACCTTCTCTCATGAATGTTATGATGGAGTTGAGAAAGTGCTGTAATCATCCTTTCCTAATACAGGTATGGAAATGTTTAATGACTGTTTTTTGTGAACAGGTGGTGTCCTTTCTAAAGTTCTAAATTTCTTTTCCTCTATCGAGTTTTACTTGTTAAGGGTGCTGAGGAAACGATATTGTCCGAACTGAAGTTACTCCATCCAGAATGGGACGAAGAAACACTGGCACATAAAGCCCTAGTTCAAGCTTCTGGAAAAGTTGTGCTGATTGAAAAGCTTTTGCCCAAATTACGAAACGATGGTCACAAGGTATATTCGCAATAGCACTTTTGGCGTAGTTCGGCCTGGTGGGGGCATTGAATAGTATCAGCTGGGATTGTATATGCCACCTTATGAAGACCTGTAAATCCCTTTGACCAAAGTGGCTCATTCGAAGGGTTTCGCTGTTTCACAGGAGTTCACAGGTCTTACTTTGGTGGTCTCACTGTCTGTATTCAACATACAAAGGAACTAGCGGAAGTGCAAAATGCCCCCTCCAAGCCGAACAGTGTCGCTCGCAGTGATCTGTTTTGATTCCATTGTGCGCTGATGAGTATCTACACCTTTCATGTTTGAGGTTCTCATCTTTTCTCAAATGGTCAAAGTATTGGATCTTCTTGAAGAATTCCTTATCAACATGAACTATCCGTTTGAACGAATAGATGGTAATGTACGCGGTGACATGCGGCAGGCGTCTATTGATCGGTTTTCAAAGAAAGGTATATAGTCGGCTGAGGTTTCATAGTTATTTTGCATTAAATATATGGATGTCAGATTCCGATCGGTTCGTTTTCCTCCTCTGTACTCGTGCTGGTGGGCTGGGAATCAATCTCACAGCTGCTGATACTGTCATCATTTTCGACTCGGATTGGAATCCACAGAACGATCTGCAGGCTCAAGCAAGGTCAGTGCGCACTTATTTGTCTAATGCTTTAAACAAGAAGAATTCCGCAGTCCGAAGGATTGCTGCTACCGTATCCCTTCTGTTCCTTCCTTCTGTTTCCTTTAATTTATCGAGTA